CATATGTGGGGGGCGCAGGGAGGATTGTGTGTGTGGCTAGATCCAGCCCATGCTAGCTCTTTGGTTGGTGGTAGTTCAGTCTCTGGGAGTTCCCAAGGAAACAGGTTAGTTGACTCTGTTGATCTTCCTGTGGAGTCCCTGTACTCTTCGGGTCCCTCAATCCTTCCCTCAGCTCTTTCACAAGACTCCCCGAGCTCCATCTAATGTTTGGCTGTGGGTCTCTGCATGTTTCAGTCAGCTGCTGGGCGAAGCCTCTCAGAGGATCCTTATGCTAGGATCTTGCCTGCAAGCACAGAAGAGTATTGTTAATAATGTTAGGGATTGGTTCTTGCCCATGGGATTACTCTCAGTTTGGGTATTTTTAAGCAATTATTACTCTTTTTCCAAAGCAAGGATAAGAACCTGCTAGATTTCTGGAAAACAAACTGTAAAGATAGAACCCCATTGCACAAACAGGAGACTTCCAGAAAGCCTACAAGGACCCACCAATCTAGTGTTAAGAATTTTCACTTTATGAAAGACCATTTTAAAAATATTTTGTAACAAAAAAATTATCTACAAAGTCCTGCGAATAAAATTCTGTCCCCGTTGCCTGCAACTGACTGTTTTAAACAGCAGGTTTCTATTTCATTTAGCAGAGCTTCCTGATAAGAAAAAATATACTAAAAAGTTTGTGCTGCACTTCTGCTTGCCTGACTTGCTGTACTCGCCATCTGTTGCTAGTGGCGGATTGCCTCACTCTGAGTGGCCTAGAACAAGGGTACCATTCATCATCTCTCACATCCCAGCAGGGCAGGAGCTTGAGAGACTCCCCTACTCATTTGGCTCCGGTTCTTTCCTGAGGTGACAGCTAAGACAGCAGCCAAGGCTGTGATTGTCTGAAGGCCACTGGGAGGCTTCAAGGTCTTGTCATCTCCTGACTTTTACCAAGAAGCAGCTGTCCTGATTGTCTTGACAGGGCAACTGGCTTCTTCTCAAGAATTATCGAGGAAGAGACAATTTTTTTTATCACTTATTTTAAGAGGTCAAATGCTATTTCCACAGCCATATTTCGTTTTCATAGGTCAGCTATGCACACTGTAGAGAGCCAGTCTGAGAGGATGGAAACTTACAGGTGAATGTAGCTATCCAGCGACCATGGATGAACTGGGTTCACCTGAACGGAAGGCTGGAAATGAAAAGGAGACAGAGGGGCAAGAGAAACATGAAGCCAAGAAGACAAAGTTCTCTGATCAGGGCTCAGAGTTTAACATTCAGCACTTGTATATATAGGGAAAGTCCCACCTTCTCCATCCTTTGTTTCAGCTGGATTGTGTCCTAAAGCAGGCTCAGCAGTCAGTCTCTTCTAAGTTCTTGCACGAAGTTGCAAGTGTAAACAAAGTGGCTGGCTTCGCCTAGGTGTTAAGGTCCTGTGTGGCAAACAAGGTCTGTTCAGTCTGCTCAAGGCTGGGGAGGGCACAGGTGAAGATGGGGGGGACCATGTTGGAGGCTGACAACTTATTATACTTTTATATTGTATTTTTAAGTGGGAACATGCATGGCTCCATGCTTTTGCCATGCTCATTTTCCCCCTAATAAATAATTTAATAAAAATTTCAGAACAAAGCAAAATGTAACTGTAACTTTCTGCCCTGAGTGCAGATTTGTTGTTGTTTTTTTTTTTTTTTTTGGTTTTTCGAGACAGGGTTTCTCTGTATAGTCCTGGCTGTCCTGAAACTTCACTCTGTAGACCAGGCTGGCCTCGAACTCAGAAATCTGCCTGTCTCTGCCTCCCAAGTGCTGGGATTAAAGGCATGTGCCACCACCACCCGACCAGATTCAGTATTTTTAACATTCCTGTTTCTGAAACTGAAATGTTGGGGTTGAGCTCTTTTCCCAGAGAGGGGTAAAATCCTTCTGGATTTGACTTTTCCCTTATAAGTAGTTAGCTCAGAATCTTAAAAAAAAAAAAAAATCATTCAAGGGTCTTTTCCAATTGGAGGGCTACAGGAAGGAGTCCTGCACTCCAGCACAGTGAGAGGTCAGGAGGTCAAAACCATTGTTGGTGCGGAGATGTGACCCACAGTTCCCAGCATTTCAACTCAACTGCTGCTCTGGATCTGTCTTCTTACCTAGACTCTTTCCCATCCAGGCACGTGTTCTACCACTAAGCAACATCCCTACTTCTGTCCTCACGGAGTCATTTTATTGTGTTTGCTATGAGAATTCTACTGTGTGGCTACGGCACATCTATTTCCCAGAGTGCCAACATCTGTGTTGTTTCCAGTTGTGCTGTGCCAAATCTTGAGTAAGCCACTCCCGCTTGTTCCCTAATACCCCACCCAGGAGAGAACACAATGCCTTTCTTGGTGGACATTTGTTAAAAATATGACTTCAAACTGGCCGTGTGGTCATTTCTTTCCTAGCTCTTGTATGGAAAATAAAACTCCCATTAGAAAAAATTTACTCAGAGTTTCCACTATTTTCACAAATAACAAATAGACTGGGAAGTCAGGCTCCTGTGTTTTGGTACACCATTCCAGTCTTGTTAAAAATAGACACGTGCTCCTAGATACATTCTAGTGACTGATCCTGTTCAGTATATCATTTTCTTTCCTAAAATTCCAGCTAGTCCTATCATTTCCCTGAACCTTTGTGTTTTTAAAGATTTATGTGTATGACTGTATTTCCTGCATATCTGTATATGCACTACATGCATGCCTATTGGCCAAGGAGACTTAAAAGAGTGTTAGATCCCCTAGAACTGGAGTTACAGACAACTGTGGGTTGCCATGTAGGTGCTGGGACTAAGCCTGGGCCTCTGCAAGAACAAGTGTTCTGGACCACTGAGCAATTTCTCCAGCCTCCGTTGTGTTTTGAGAGGTCTCGGTAGTCTAGGCTGGTCTTGAACTCCTGACCCTCTTGCTGCCCATGTGCTAGGATTACAGGGGTGCCCCACCAAGAGAAAGGCAGTTCCTAAATGGGAACATTCAGAGCAACACTTGCATTATTTAAGGAGTGATTAAAAGGTCACGTGCAGCTTGTACAGGATCACAGCGGGCCAAGATGGTTCCAGGAGGGGAGATTTATTAAGAGAGTGGGAGAGCGGGAGAGAGTAGAAGAGAGTAGAGGCCCGCCATGACCACGTGGAGAGAGGGGGAAGGGAAGGGGGAGGGGAGACGACAACCTGCATGTGCTCGGGTGGAGGAGCAAGAGAGAGGGGGGGGAGGCAGCCCCTTTTATAGTGGGCAGGGTTACCTGCCTGTTGCCAGGTAACTGTGGGGCGGAGCATACCTGGCTGTTGCCAGGTGACTGTGAAGGTGGAGTTTAACAGATTACTAACAGTGATATTTTAAAAATTCAAAAAACTTTAAAAACATTTATTTTTATGTACACATGTATTTTTTAATGTGTATGAGTTTTTAAGATTTATTTTATTTATATGAGTACACTGTAGCTGTCTTCAGACACACCAGAAGACGGTATCAGATCCCATTACGGACGGGTGTGAGCCACCATGTGGTTGGTGGGAATTGAACTCAGGACTTTTGGAAGAGCAGTCAGTGCTCTTAACCTCTGAGCCATCCCTCCAGCCCGTGTATAAGTATTTTATGTATGTGTACCCCGGGCATGCCTGGTGCCTTTGGAAGTCAAAAAGGGTATTGGATCCTCTGGAACTGTAGGTAGATGGCTGTGAGCTGCCATGTGGCTGCTGGGACTCGAACCTGGGTCATCTGTAAGAGGAGATCTGATGCCTCTGCCTCCAAGGTCACCCAAACTCAGGTGCATATGTCAGTAACTGAGAAACTTCAAACAACCCAGATGCCTATTGCTGTAGGAATGGATCAACAAGCCAGAGTATAATGAAGAACGATTAAGTATAAAAAGCTAGAGACTTTTAAGATATACGACTTTTAAGATGGAACGAAATACCAACCTCTTTGCTATGAGACGTTAGACTCAAAGTTTTCTTTTGAGCCCTAGGGATATTGAGATCGGAGTTAAAGAAATTACGAGAGGAGAAGGAAAGGCAAAAGAACACAGTGTAGAGTTACATAATTTAAAAAATGGAAAATTACCCTACTATGTTAGAAATAAATTTAGAATGCAAGAGACTGAGGGGTAAGGAGCAAGAGTTCCAGACTGGTTCAAGTTTCACAGCCAAACCTATTCTCAACAACACTGGGCTGGAGAGATGGCTCAGCAGAGGGCTTGCTGCTTTTGCAGAGAACCCAGGTTTGGTTCTCAGCACCCACATCAGGTGGCTTACAACTGCCTGTAACTCCAGATCGGACTTCCTCTTTTGGCTTCTGCAAGCAGGCACATGTGTGCAATGTGCACGTGGTGTTCGTGCACTCACTCAGGTGCACACATGTACACATTAAATAAAAACAAATCTTCTAAGTTAACAGCCCCAGCCATTCCAAACAAAACCCGAGTTTTGTGGCTCAGGCTTGGGAGGTAGAGGTAAGGACAGAAACTTAAGATCATCCTTTGCTATAGGGTAAGTTCGAGGACATCCTGTACTAATGTAAGTCCTGTCCAAACAAATACCGAATTGGAATCGGCGAAGGCAGAGGTGGTTAATGGGTTACAGCGGTCTGGGAACTTCCCGGTGTGAGGTGAAAGTGCGTCAACATAAATGTGGATCCATTTGCAAAACCTCAGCATCAATTAGAAACAGAAAGTCTTCCAGGGCGACTGTGGGGGCGGCTGCAGGAAGGGACAGCCAGGCCTTTGCTGAGGAAGAACACGAACCGTGTATTCCGGTTTTAAAAGACGGTAGGGGCGGGGCAGGGAGAGAACAAGTACCAGAAAGGTTTAGTCTTGATGATGGCGGCGGAGCGAATCGCCGGAGATGCCGGAATTCCCACAGGGGCCTTCTAGGGTCGCCCACACGACTCGACCGCCACGGCCCCGACCGCCCAACGCTCCGGACCTCAATAGCTCCACAGGCCGCAACCCACGAGGGCTTCGGGCGCGCCGGGAGGCCGGGCGGGCGGGCGCGTCGCTCTGACGTCACGCGCGCGCTGACGTCGCCGGCAGCCGCAGCCTCTGAAGCGGGGCTGGGACCGGGGGGCGCCGAGTTTGATTAGTTTAGGGGGGCCGTCCCCCGCCGGCCGCCGCGCCCCAGGGAGCGGCGCCTCTGGGTGGCGGGCGCGTCCCGGAGGCTTCACCGCCGCGGCTCGGCGGTGCTGCGAGGAAAGTTGGCGGCTGAGGGGCGACGGGCGGCTGAGGGGCGGCGGGCGCGGCCATGGAGCCCCGCGGCGCGGAGTACTTCAGCGCCCAAGTGCTGCAGAAGGACGTGAGCGGCCGGCTGCAGGCGGGCGAGGAGCTGCTGCTCTACCTCGGCGCGCCCGGCGCCATCCCGGATCTGGAGGACGACCCGAGCCGCCTGGCTAAGATCGTGGACGCGCTCACCGGCTGGGTGGGCTCGAGCAACTACCGGGTGAGCGGCGGTGCGAACGGGCGCGCGGCCGGGGCGGGCGGGCGCGCTCCTCGCCGCGGCGCTTTAACCCTGGCGCGCTGCCGCCGGAGTCCGGGGACGCGCTGGCATCGCCCCCAAGCTTGGGGTCTGGCTACAGGCGGCGGTTCGGTGACACGTTGCGGTGTTGTTTGGCGCTTTACAAAGTGGTAACTTGCGGCCAAAGGCTTGAAGACTTTGTAACGTTTGTACACGCCCGTGGGGAACGCCTGCGCTGAGACAGGGCGTTGGGTACGGAGTGAAGTTGGACAGTCAAGTTCATCTATTCCGAGTGGTTTCTGTTGTACTTAATCTCCAGTCTCTTTTCTCTCTCCCCACTCTTCCTCTCTCTCCTCCTTTCTTCCCTTTGGTATCCCTTCTTTTTTGCTTCTCTCTCCCTTCCTCTATTTCCCTCCCCTTTTCCCTCCTCTCTTTCCCTCTTTCCCCTTCCTTTCTCCTTCTTTTCTTTCGTAGTCTTTACGTGAAGGTTGTGATCTCCCCAAAGCACCGTTAGCGCTTATTCAGGTCCTTCGCACGGAAGGACTGCTCATCTCATGGGATTTATTTACTTTTCCCTTAATTGACAGCAGAAAGCCATTAACCGCTCATCTGTCCTCTTGTTTCCCCGCAGTTGGGGACGAACTCAGATTGAAACACTATGCGGTATCAGGTTTTAGTTGATGCTGCAAACAAAGAGGGAGTGGGGAGGAGTGGGGTGAGGTACAAGGAGGAATGGGTGTCCAGTCAGCATCGGGTAGTTATGTGGCCACCGATGGAGATAAGGAAATATTTTGTAATAAGGCGGAGTTGTTAGCGGTTACTTTTCTTTTTAGTCTTCTGGTGGCAGTATTGCTTTAAAATGCAGGCGGGAGCTTCCCCTGGCTAGAACGATTCTTAGTGATATATATCCAGCAAATAGACTGTACTTTGAACGCTTTTATCTATAGAGACAAGAAAAACAAACTGGACAATTATGCAGATTTAATGATGAGACCTAGATGAATTGTAGGACGGTTAGATTTCCCAAGATTTTTAAAATAAAGTTTTCCTAGCATATATTATCAATTATACATAATGGGTTTCACTGTGGCATCCTCATACACCTGTTTAATGTACTTTGTTCACGTTCACATTCATTGCTCTTATTCTCCCACTCTTGCCACTTCAATATAGTTCCGATCTGCCTTCTTGTCTTTTTTTTTTTTTTAATTAAATGAACCTATAAGCTTAGTTAGGGCTGTTTAAAGGAGCACGAGGCACGAGGGAAGGGTTCTATAAAGGAATATGGGCATCTTAGTAGTGGCTGCATCACTGAAGAAAACGTTTTAATTAAACGTTTTAATAATGATAATGATTAAATAGGTAATGATTGAGGCCAAATTGAACTATATAATGAGGCCCTGTCTCAGAAACCAGGGGTGCGGAGAGAGGGAGCTTGGGGGAAAACTAATATTTACTAAAAATACCGGGAGTATTAATTTCTTTTGAAGAAATTAGCTAGCTACCCTTCCTGTGTAAGAAAGGCATGTGTGTGCTCAGCATGGCTGTGTGGGAAGAGAGCCCTTTATCAGTAATGTTTGCTCACTTTCTCCAGAGAAAACTGCTGGGTTTCATTCTCCACACTGATAGTGGATGGCCTTCGAGCCTTTGAAGCCCTCAGATGTTTGTCAGCAAGTGGCAGTAGTGATACCACAGTTCCCAACTCTTCTGTCATATCTCTGAGCTTCCAGTTAACTGGCTAGGGGCCTTCCAGGAAGTACCCGATGTTCACACATTATTTCCATGTTCTTTATAAGATACCTTAGCCTGAGACACCTTGAGCAGTTGGAAGTGCCACAGGCCTTCCAGCGCTGTTATTAATGTTATTAATCCTTAAGAAGTACAAAAAAGAACATTCGTGTTCTCTTCTGCTAATTTACCAAGGCTTAAGATCATAATGATCATGTTACTGAGAAACTTCAAACAACCCAGATGCCTATTGCTGTAGGAATGGATCAACAAGCCAGAGTATAATGAAGAACGATTAAGTATAAAAAGCTAGAGACTTTTAAGATATACACTTCATGGAACGAAATACCAACCTCTTTGCTATGAGACGTTAGACTCAAAGTTTTCTTTTGAGCCCTAGGGATATTGAGATCGGAGTTAAAGAAATTACGAGAGGAGAAGGAAAGGCAAAAGAACATATAAATAAAATAAATCTTAAAAACTCATACACATTAAAAAATACATGTGTACATAAAAATAAATGTATTTAAAGTTTTTTGAATTTTTAAAATATCACTGTTAGTAATCTGTTAAACTCCACCTTCACAGTCACCTGGCAACAGCCAGGTATGCTCCGCCCCACAGTTACCTGGCAACAGGCAGGTAACCCTGCCCACTATAAAAGGGGCTGCCTCCCCCCCCTCTCTCTTGCTCCTCCACCCGAGCACATGCAGGTTGTGCTCATTAGTCTTCATTTCTGGTATATGAGTGAGTCGCCTGCCTTCCTAGGTCAGCTCCTTGGCTCTGCCATTAGATGCCACGCCTTCTTCTCTACTCAAGGGCACTCATCACTCAATTTTCTCTTCCTCAGAAATTACTAGCCGGGCGGTGGTGGCGCACGCTTTTAATCCCAGCACTTGGGAGGCAGAGGTAGGCGGATCTCTGAGTTCGAGGCCAGCCTGGTCTACAGAGTGATTTCTAGGACAGCCAGGGCTACACAGAGAAACCCTGTCTCAAGAAAAAAAAAAAAAGAAATTATTAGTCCTTGGTACTTAATATTTTAGCATAAAACCTTTTCTAATGTTTGTTAGAGGGCGTAATATATATTATATTATTATAATGAGCCTGTTATTTGGGTTTTATTTGTTTACTTACTGATACAAGATCTCACTTCTCACTATGTAGCCCTGGCTAGCTTGGAACTCACTATGTACACTAGGCTATCCTTAGATTCACAGAGATCGACCTGTATCTGCCTCCCTTCTCTCACCCCAAGGGCTGGGATTAAAGGTATATGCCACCACTTCTGGTTTATTTTTAATTTTTAAAAAATTATTTTTTGTTTTATTGTTTATGTGTGTGGCTGTTTTTTAATGCATGTATGTCTATGTATGTATGCATAACTGGTGCCCACAGATACCAGAAGAACCCCTTGGAACTGGACTTAAGACAGTTGTGAGCTGCCATGTGGATGCTGGAAATAGAACCTGGGTCCTAAGGAAGAGCAGGCAGTGGTCTTAACTGTGAAGCCCTCAGAGCTAGAATATAATTAGTATGGTATCAAGACAAAGTTGGAGGCTGGAGGGTATATAGATGTACAGGGTTTAGTTTGTTTATTTTTCTGAGACAGGTTTTCATGGGGCTTAGGCTGGCCTCTAACTTACTGTACATCTAAGGCCATGTGATCCTATTTTAAATGGGGTAGGTTTATATGAGGGACAGCCCTTTAGTCCTTAGTTGGGAAGGAAAGGAATAACAGAAGCAGCCCTTGGTAGCAAGGGCTGGTTTGGTAGCAGGGACAGTGCTGTGATTTTTTTCTTTTCTATGTTTCTTTTCTCTTTCTGTTTCTTTTCTCTCTTCTTCTCTTCTCCTCTTCTCCCTCTTCCCTCTCTTCTTCCTCCTCTTCCTCCTCCTCCTCTTCTTCTGAGACAGGATGTGGTGGCTTGAACAAGAATGGCCCCCTTAGGCTAATATATTTGAGTACTTTAGTACTCCATCTCCAGGTGGTTGACTGTTAAGGAAGGATTAGGAGGGTGTGTGTGTGTGTGTGTGTGTCCATCTGTGTCCCCTTGTTGGAGCAGCTGTGTCACTCAAGGTGGACTTTGACATTTCAAAAACCCATACCAGGCCTAGTCTCACCTGTCTCCTAGTTTTCAGATCAGGATGTAAGCTGTTCCCTCCTCTGATATTCATGGACTAATCCTCTGAAACTGTAAGCAAGCCTTCAATTAAATGCTTTCTTCTATAAATTGCTTTGGCTGTGATTTCTCTTCATAACCATAGACCACTAACTAAGACATAAACTAAGACATAGGGTCTCTATGTAGCCCTGGCTGGTCTGGAACTCACAGAGATCTATATACTGAGTTCTGGGATTAGAGGTATGTACCACCAGCTAACCATTTGATATGTCATTTGTGGTAGGTCCAATAGGACTTTGTTTTGGGTTGGTGTGAGGATTGAGAGAAACAGTAGTTAGGGGGTACTGCCTTCTCAAGCAGTAGGATAGGCATGTTACCTGCTGAGTTTGGAGACCAAGTACACAAAGGCATGGAAAAGTTTGACTAGGTTACATTGGAAAGATTGTTTAATATCAAAGTTAAAATGTTTAGATGATTGGGGCCTAAAATCTGGTGGAGAAGTCCTAACTAGTGGCTTAAGCTCATGGGAGTCAGTATATATGTGATGTATATACTTTGGTGTTTGAGTTTTGCCGAAAGCCTTGTAGATTTTGTAGCGTATTGTATTAATACAGTTTCCTTCTCACATATTGTTAAAATGAGAAACACTATTTAAAAGCAGTTCTTGTGAGTCTCAGGGTCTGTCTTAAGGGCTAAGTTTGTATGGTATCATTTACTCTCTAGGATGGCTTTAGGAAGTCTGTGTCCTTACTTCTTTCTTTTGTAGAAAAGATGACCTAAAAAGTATTTTGACTTAGGTCAGAGCCTTGGTAAATTAGCAGAAGAGAACACGAATGTTCTTTTTTGTACTTCTTAAGGATTAATAACATTTACATTTGCCTATAAATATAACAGTAAGTTGACTGAAAATAATAACTTGTAAAAATCCTGGAAGCTTCTAATCTCTGTACATCTTATGTAGAATGTTTTCAGCCTCTTTCTGAACTTGCTGTCTGATTCACCTCAACTGAGCTATTCTGGCTCAAAACTCCTCTCCACACCGACAGATTCAATCTAGTTTCCCCCCCTTTCTCCCCCCCCTTCTTTTTGCTCTGCTTGACCTTAAAATAACCCCTGCAATCTGTTGTAATCTTTTGG